ATATATATATATATACACACACACACACACACACACACACACATTATATATATTTAAAATATTCGATAAATTACCTTCATCTTTGCATATAAAACATCCATAAAACATATGAATTTAGTGTTCAAATTTTGGTCCTATCCCCAAGATGTCTCATTATGTATATACAAAGATTCAAAAATCTACAAAATATCAGAAATCTGATACACTTCTCTTTCTGACATTTCAGATAAGGCATGATCAACCTGTAGTAGCATAAATATCTTGTATGCATAATTTTCTGTTGACTGGGTTGGCATGAGCCAAGTGTGGGGGCACAGAGACTCAAGTAGTCTAGAGCATCAGAGCGAGCTTTGTACAGGAGGTGACCTTGGTGCTGTGGATTTGGTTTAGCCTTGGCTTTCTTGGTTATAAATGAGAAACATGACTCAAAGTAGTACAAGCAAAAGGGAAATTTATCGGCTGTGTAGGAGAGAGTGAACAATTAATCCATGGGGAGATAGGCAGTTGGAACTCCAGAAGGACCACTACCAAGGTCTTGACCTCCGCAAGGATTCTCAGGCTATCTCTTGTCCCAGCTTCTCTCTGTGCATGGGCTTCATGCTTCCTCACCTCACCATAAACCACATCCTCTGCACAAAGAGAAATATGACTACTGACAATTTGCAGCTTCCTCTGCCTGCTAGAAATCTTGATCTCAGTTTTAGTTTGAAAAGTCCTAAGGTGGGGCCGGTCCCAGGGAAGGATTCTGATTGGCCTACTCTAGCTGTGTCAACTTTAAACCAATCACTATGGCCAGGAAATTGGATCATGTGAAAACATGGTAAGGCTGGGTGTGGTGTTGCACACCTGTGATCCCAGAACTTGGGAGGCTGAGCTAGGAGAATTGCTGCAAATTCAAAGCCAGCCTAAACTACAGAGTGAGACCCTGTCTCAAACAACAATGAGGAGGTGGGGAGAGAGAGGGAATACAAATATGGTAGCTCTTTCTGGAACCAAACAGTTATAGAGGTGAACGAAAAGACCTCAAGGGAAGATGATGGGAAATAAAGGTACTGGATGGATAAAACCAGAAGGGACTACACAGTCTTGGCAGAGGAACAGGAGCTGCAGGAAGCACAGGCTGCAGAGAATCTGTTGTCTGCAGTAGTACTGCCCTAGGGGGGCCAAGGACACTTCACTATGTTGAATAAGGATTGCTCTCACACAATGATGACAAGTCTCAGTTTACAAAGCACCCAAGTAACTATTATCTTATATAATTCTCACAGCAAATGGGAGGAAGATGAAATGGATATTGTAAGTCTCATTTCATGGATGAAGACACCGAAGCTTAGACAGGATAAGAAACTTTTTCAGGGTCACACTACTACATACTAGTAGGAGGCATGGCTGCAATGTAATTTCCAAGTCACCCCTGGCTCTCTATCCTCTCGATGTTTACCACTTGTGTATAGACATTCAGGTACCATGCTGGAGCCTGCTCACAGTGACCTGACGAATCATATATGGTGACTTTACCAGAACTTGTAAAATCATCCTTAATTCTGCCAAGAGCTTTGCAGATTTTGTGGAGGAGGTGGGAGTGGGGACAGGAATTTAGAGAGGTAAAAGAGCAAGGGAACACCTGTAATAATTCTTTCATATGTTTACCTAAAGCAAGGGCTTTTCAGTTAGTGAATTATTGACTACTAGAGAGTTCAAGAATATGCTTCAGGGACTTGTCATCTCACTAACTTTTTTTGTGGGAGTGTGTGTGTGCACATGTTTTTCTGGGGAAAAGGGCAATGGTCTTCATCTGATTTTTAAGGGTATCATGACTCTTATCAAGTTAAGAAACCCTAGCTAATTGCTTTGTAATTTGCACAGCACATTCCGAGTTTGTATTTCACTCATTCTTAACACAGCCCAGTGAAGAAGAAATGCTCGTTTACATATCACAGATGAGACAGAAGGTCCAGGGAGCTTACTGTCCCCTCATGATCGCACAACTGGAAAGTGACAAACGAGGAATATGAGTCCATATCTTTGCCCAAGGGCAGAGCTACTGGTACTGCACTCCCCAGCCTCCTCCCACAGCCTAACCTCCTCTCTTCCTCTTTCTGAGCCCACTTCCTCTGTTCAGTGGTCACATGCTTGGCTTGGGTGAGGTAAGTTATATGAGTCAGGATATTTTTAGATGCAGGTGACAGAAAATCTAATTAAAACTGGCTTTTACAAATTATAACAGAAGGGACTGATTGACTTATAAACCTGAAAAGTCCAGCATCGCTTGATCTAGGATGACAATGAATAACTTCATCTCTTTGCTGTAAAACCAGTCAATGTGGCCTAAGTCGCACACTGGGTCCCAAACCTGAGGACACAATTGCCAGGTGGGATTTCTTGAAGCACTGAATTGGGGTTGTGAACACTCTTCTCAGTAGTCACCTGGCATATGGTCCATTTTTCAAGGAATGTGTTTTTTGTAATTTTTGTTTTCTATTTTGTCTTAGCCGTGGCCCTTCCAGGCCCACCTGGTCCTCCAGGACAGCCAGGGCTTCCCGGATCCAGAAATTTGGTCAGTATCATTATCAGTGTGTAGTCATCATTCTGCTATGGGTGGATTTAATTAAAACTTTGGCTATAATGTTCTGGGGCTGGCTTCCCTTTTACTTTGGAACTAGGACTCCGTGACACGTAGAACTGGTACAATTCCACAAACAGTGGAAGGTAATTTATCTCTTCAGTTGACTTATTAAGTAAAGAGATATAGAAACAAAATTACTTATTATTGAAATTCAGCCCAGTGAATCTTTAATTAGCTAAGTTATATAGTAAGAACTAATCACATTTGTTAGATTTCTCTTGCCTTAAGATGGCTGTCACGTAGAATAGCAGCCTCTGTGTTAAAATATTGCTTCTCCCAACGAAGGACAGGCTTCTTCTTCCCATACAGCTCTTCTCCCCCCAAAAGAATAACCTGATACTTACTACCTCCTAGCAGCTAGTGATGTCACAGACTTCTCCAATCTCTTAATACTACCTCACTCCACTTCACCCCAGCTCAGGCTAACCCCACCCCGCTCCTATAAAAGATGCTCTCTGTTCTGCCATGTTGCTCTCTCCTTTGTTCAAAGACAGCCTGGAAGATACTCCCAATAATAAAGGCTTGTTATGTCCTGGTCTGCTCCTGGTTTTTGGCTGTTTTTACCTAACAATATTGTATATTTTAAAATAAGCATCAAAGTATAAACACTGCCATAGTAGGTCTTGTAAACTAGTCATATTTATCCTAAGTCTTTTGCCTTTCACAATTCTGCTAAAAGGTGTGGTGATCCATCAGTTCCTAGAGGCAGGGTGCAGCATGCTGAGGTTATTATAATGCACATAAAGAGGGACAAATACCTCCAGGGGATGTTAGGAGTCCCAAAAGTGTCCTTTGATCTTTACTAGATTTTACTCAGAAAAAATGGCTGCCAAATGAAACAAAAGAAAATGAACACAAAACAAAAAGAAAACGCTATCTAACAGATGATAGAATTTTGATATTTGGTTCCTTGGTGGAAGGGATCTTCTAAGCCATTTTGATGAATGAAGTCAACTTCACGGAGAGATGAAAATTAATTTTTTAAAATTTTCTGAGCTTAAATAAAAATTCTTTTTGCTGATAGTCTTTGAAATTGGGTGCTGTTTAGTAGACTTTATGCAGCTTCTAAGTCTGCTTCTAGATATGCTAAATGGCTGTCTAATCTTTGGTATTTTTTGAGACAGAGAAATTGCAGGCCTCCACTTTCCATCATGTATTAAATATTGTAATTACCAAGCTAGGCGAAAAATTAAGGCCTAAGTATAATTGCCTACTTGCTTGCATTTTTTATTCCAAGTGCAAACAAATTTGAAACCTGTTACGAAGCGGCATGGGATGACACCATTTAGTTAATGCCACCGAGCAGCTTTAAAGAAAGGGAAGTGGAAAGACTTGCTGGTGGTTTTGCTCATAACAAAACCGAGAAAAGATAACTCTATTGTTACATCTTTGTGCTCACAGAATGGTATTTGCTGTGTTTTAATTCACGGTTTATAAAATTTAGATTTGTGTTTCAAGGTAATATATGTTTTCATTTCATCACAAAGACTCTCTCCTTTAGTTATTAGAGAAAGTATGGTACAGTAAGCCTTTTTATTGGCCATGAAGGCACACCTCCTAGTTGACTTTAAGGAGGGCCTGTATTCTAATGATAACGGCAATGTTTGGAATTGAAAATTATCTGACAGGTCACAGCATTCCGCAGTATGGATGACATGCTGCAAAGGCCCCATTTGGTCATAGAAGGAACATTCATCTACTTGAGGGACAGCACAGAGTTCTTCATTCGTGTTCGAGATGGCTGGAAAAAATTACAGGTAATTCTTACACTTTCTTTAAGAAAGTGCCTCCATATTTCTCTAAGGCTAATAATATATTCTCTAAGGATAATAATATATTCATTTTTCCATTGTGAAATTAGGCAAACAGTTTCTAATTGATATTTCATTTTCAATGCACTCTTTTCCTTAAAGCTGGGAGAACTGATCCCCATTCCTGCGGACAGTCCTCCACCCCCTGCGCTTTCCAGCAATGTAAGTAGTGCCCCTGCCTTGGCCCTGACTTCTTCATTTATCAACTTCCCGAGTACCCCTTGGCTCGCAGTATCAACTCTCCAAATTCAACAGCCAGAATTGCATGGTTTAGCATCTGTTGGAAACCCACAAATCCCTGGATGCCGACTGAGCATTCTCACAATAGAGCAAAGGGACAACAGGGCCCAGAAGTGGAATACTTCCTGATTGCATGAGTCTTCCTGGGCAAGGTTTTTTTTTCTCTCTCTCTCTCTTAACCTCACTTTACCAGTTATGAAATCATTAATCGGCTCAAACAATGCAGAAGATCCCTTTACTTTTTGATATTTTCTGCCTTGTAAGAACATGGGTTACTGACATGGTCCATCTTTGAGACTTGCTGTAACTGAATGAGGCAGCTGCAATTATCCCCATTTTGCAGATGATGAAACAGTCTTTGAAGGGGTGGCTTGCTCTATAAGTGAGTGTGTTGGCCATTTAGCATGGGTCCTCTGTTTTCTTTCTTTCTTTTTTTTTTTTGTGTGTGTGTTTCGTTTTCTGTTTTTTGAGAAAGGGTCTCACTATGTAGTGAGACTGACCTGGAACTCACTATGTAGCCCAGGCTGGTCTCGAACTTACAGCGATCCTCCTGCCTCAGCCTCCTGAGTGCTGGGATTACACACGTGCACCACCATACCCAGCTGTTTTCTTAAGAAGTTTTTAAAAATCTTGAGAGCATCCTTTCCATTTCTGAGGATGACTTACATTTGACTGTGAAATTCTTCAATAGTCAAGAGTCACAGTTAAATCAGGTGCTTTGGCACACGCCTGTAACCCAGTACTCTGGGAGCCTGAGGCAGGAGGATTCTAAGTTCAAGCCCAGCCTAAGCAACTCAGTGACTTAGTGAAACTCTCTCAAAATTTAAAAATTTTAAAAAGCTGGAGATGTAGCTCAGTGCATAGGCTCTTGGTTCGATCTCCAGTAATGAAAAAGAAGGAAGGAAGGAAGAGAGGAAGGGAAGGAGGGAGGGAGGAAGGGAAAGGGTTACAGTTTAAGACTGTAACAAACAAAAGTGTCTTCCCAAGAAGTATTGAATTTGCACCTCACTGTAGTATGAGGAACAGATTGAATGTGTATTCACAACTGTTTCTTTTCTCCTTTTACATAACAGTCATATCAGCTTCAGCCTCCACTGAACCCTATTTTAAGTGCCAATTATGAGAATCCTACCGTAAGTACAATTCATACATTTTCTTTGCCAACATTGAATGTCTACTATCTGCTAGACCTTGGGCTTAGTACACAGTTCCTACTGTCAAGATGCTTATAGACCAGTGACCAAGGCAAATAAAATATGGGCAGTTACAGTGTAGTACAGATACTTTTTGGGGCAAAGCAAACGAGATACTGGAGTTATGAGGAAAGTTGTGGAGAAGATGACCTGGAACTCTAGGAGGTGAGCACTAAACTAAGATCTAAAGGACTATTGATTCAGGAGTAGGCCAGTTGGGAAAAAGGGTGGAGATTCCAGATAGAGGAAAGATGGAACAGAGGGAGGCAAGGAGAAGTGCTGATTGCAAGCATTTCAGTCTGATCAAAGGACTAGAGTTCAATGCAGACAAAGGAGAAGTATATTCTGCAGAGGTCAGCAAGGGCAAGGGCTGGCCATGAAAGACCTGTATGCCACCATAAGAACTTTGACCCTTTTCTGTGGGCATTGGGGAGTTACTGGTGGGGTTAAGTTAGGAAAAGTGTATGATAAAACTGGCACTTCAGAAATTATCTTGCCCAAATGGATCGGAGAAGATAGGAGCTAGGGTCCCAAAATTAGTTCAGTGGTTCCTGTATTTTCCGAACTAGGGCAAAGCCGCAAACATGTGGGGAAGTGGCAGGCTGAAAAGACATGAAGGAGGCAGGAGTGACCAGTTTGGTCACTGATGGAATATGGTGCCTTGAGGATGACAGAGATTAGTAATTATGGCCAGTTTTCGGCCTGAATAATCAATGGTCATAAGTTCCTTTCCAGGGTTCATTTCACATTATTGGAGTTAGTAACTGTCACTCTATTCTTTTGCCAACTTAAATAAAGATCTTAGTAAATAAAGATCTTATTTATCTTCCTGTAAATCATTACAGGAAACCTGTGAGACTCAGTCAAAGAAAGGACAACCAGAACTGGGGTCTCTTGTCTCTGCTATGCTGCTTTACTATTTCTTTCTTCAGAAGGAAGTTCTTCCTTCTGCAAGAGTCTCTCTTCCCACCTCCGCTCCAACCTAACACACAGACAGAGGTTATATGAGCTTGCATACAGCCCTGATTGCCATCGCACTAATTCTGGGCCTGATGCTATGTGATTGTATGGTTGCAGAGCCCCCCTTCACCTGACTCAGTTAACTCTTGGGAGAGAGCATCTGCATAGTCTCTCTTGGGTCATTGCCCACTCCCAGTCTAATCCACGGGAGCCAGGAGAATAAAAAGGAAGACCTATGGCACTTTCAAAGAGTAAGGCATAGGTATAACAGGCAACAGAAGGGTACTCCCTATAATGTGGTCATTACTAAGGAAGACCTCACTGGGGCATGATGAGTCTGAGGTGCCCAGGTGACACCTAAGAAGAGACAGTCAGGAAGACATGGGACATGAAGGTCAGAAGCCTGTAGTGGGACCGAGTCTGGAGACATATGTGGGAGTCTTTAGCGAAGCCATGGCAACTGTTATGGGGGTGGTAGACTGGACTATATGGAGCAAAAACAGAGGAATGGATAAAAGAAATGTGAGAAGGAAACTAAGAAGCCATGGCCAACAAGGAAGAAAGAATGCCAAATGGTACTAGCCTGCCAGGAGTTCCATAAAAAAAAAAAAAAACTAAATCATATCCTTCAAAGAGAATTCTAGCTAGTTGAAGAATAAATGAGAGGGTAGGGAAGAGAAAAACCCTTCAAAGGACTCCAAAAAAAATTAGGATGGTAGCTCATGGAATTTTTCAACAGTTTTATAAATTCAGAAGTAGTATACATTCACTGTAGTTCAATTCCCGGTACCAAAAACAAACAAACAAACAAAAAAATAGGCTGTGGAGTGGCTTTTATTTTTGCTGCTGAACAAGGTGGCAGGGATGTACAGCTACAATGGTTATGACACCTAGTTTTTAGAAGGTCCTATCCAAGCAGTCTTGGTAGTAAATGTCACATCCTTTTCCTTTCAAGGCCATTCCCTGGCCCCTGGTGTGATCAGTCCTAGTTCTGCTCAGGAAATGGAAGAAAGCACAGACAGCAGATAGCCAGAGAAGCTCTTGGATCCAGGACCAATGTCAACTGAAAACCCCTTCTGGGACTGAGCTAGGGACACTCAGAGGTCCCAAACATATGCTTCAGGCTGGATTCAGTTCTCTGAAGTCCTTTATTTGGTCCAAATAGGGTTTGGTTTTGTGTTGTTTTCTCATCAAAGTAAGACATTTCACGTAATACAACTGTTCAAAGAGCTGAACGAAACAGGTTGCTTGGGGAACCGTAACTTTTCTGCCCTGGGGATGGTCCTGTGGTTCTCATGTAAGGTCCAGGTTGAATTAGATGATCCGTGATGTACAGAATCTTCAGTCCTAAGACTGCTGGGATCTTCTTCAGGACACAAGACCATCCTCAGGTTGTGGTTTCCCATCAGTGCTAACCGCATTGTTTTTTCTCTCACTTTTTTCAGTTGCACTTGGTTGCTCTAAACATGCCGTTTTCTGGGGACATTAGAGCTGATTTTCAGTGCTTCCAGCAGGCCAGGGCTGCAGGACTATTGTCCACCTTCCGAGCATTCTTATCTTCTCATTTGCAAGATCTTTCCACAGTTGTAAGGAAGGCAGAGAGATACAACCTTCCAATAGTAAACCTCAAGGTAAAGATAAAACCTGTTCCCCTTGTTCTCTGGGTGCATCAGTCTCCCCGGGGACTGTAACAGGGACTGTAATGATTCTATTATGATCTTTATCTTCACAGGGCCAAGTACTTTTTAATAATTGGGACTCGATTTTTTCTGGTGATGGAGGTCAGTTCAATATACATGTTCCAATATACTCCTTTGATGGCCGAGATGTGATGAGAGATCCTTCTTGGTAAGCGAGGGTGGGAACCTACTTACATGGTATGATAGAGAGTTTTAAGGTGCATCCTCACAATGGCGTGCCTTTACCAGCTGCCCTACTGCATGATTGCCAACATGAAGCTACAGTGAGGTAGCTGAAGGCTGAAGGCCATGGACAGAGCTGGTGGACCTGAGTTCAGTAGCTTAATATGAGACCCTAGGCAAGGCACTTGCACTCTCTGAGCCTCCGTTGCCTTGCCTTTTAAATGGACAAGATGACCGTATTTATACCATCAGATTGTTGTGCGGTTAGAACAAATATGTACAAAGCATACCATGCAGTAGGCTCTTAAGTGCTAAGTGCTGAACTCCTGGTGATCCAGTAACTCTGTACATGAATTCCCTCTAAATCTTTGCACATGATTGTGCTTTTCATAACAGAACAATTCAGCAAATCTTTCTTCCGGTTACTCTATAATAGGTCTGATGTCAGGCCTGGAAGGCATAGTAATAAACCTATATGACCCCTAACCCTAAAGAGCTCCCATTCCTCAAGGAAAGACAGACAAAAGATAACTGTGTGATTGTAAAATGGAGAAACTGATAAAATGAGAAGCACATAGATAACCATTCATTTTCACTTAGGGATGCGAATCAGAGAAGGCTTCCTGGGAGAGGAGGCACCTATCGGGCTTGGAAAGATAATAAGGAGTTACTAAATTGGTCTAAAAATGAAACAGGGCCACTCTAGACTAAGGGGCCTCATGAGTGGTAGTTTAGATTTACAAAAACCGAGTACATGGCTGGGAAACAATTGCAAGCTGGGTGTGGCTGGAATAGAGTGTGTTCAGAAAGCTAGAAAGAACCATGAGTGCTGCATGCACATCTGTAATCCTAGGACTCTAAGGAGCTGAGGCAGGTGGAATACAAGTGAGCCCAGCCTGGGGAACTTAGTGACTTAACGAGACCCTGTCTCGAATTTTTAAAAAGGTTGGGGACGTAGCTTACTGTGAAGGCCCTGGATTCATCCCCCAGAAGAAAGAAAAAGACCAAAGGAAGGAGGGAGGGAGGAAAAGAAGGAGGAAGGAAGGGAGGAAGGAAGGAAGGAAGGAAGGAAGGAAGGAAGGAAGGAAGGAAGGAGACCATGAGAGTAGAGAGATCTAGCATTAGATTCTGTGAAGGGGTAAGGAGTTCGACTTGATTCACTTCATTCACTAGACTTACCACGTTGTTTACTGAGATGTACCACAAAGATGTGTCATTCAAAATGTAACATGACAAAATCACCTTCTAGGCCCCAGAAGGTCGTCTGGCATGGCTCCACCACCCACGGTGTCCGTCTTGTGGATAAGTACTGTGAAGCATGGCGAACCGCAGACACGGCAGTCACGGGATTCGCCTCGCCACTGAGCACCGGGAAGATTCTGGACCAGAAAGCATACGACTGTGCTAATAGGCTAATTGTTCTGTGTATTGAAAACAGTTTCATGACAGATGCTAGGAAGTAATGACCTTCCAGTGATTCCTAAAGAGTTTTCCAGTTTTTCTTAGGTGAAGAGTTGACACTGAAATCTAAAATGTTTAAGTGTTGTAAATATTACAGTTTTTTTTATTACACATTCATCACAAGAGCAACCAAAGAAAACATACCTCAGTGCACTCAAAATTGAAGACATGAAGGACTCAATGCAAAGGCAAAATCTGAGTCGCATATTGGTGCTACATACTGCAGGAAACCCCCTGCAGCGTGAATATCCCAACACAGCTTAAGGGCAAGGTGAAAACAGAGACCGTGGCATTTGCCCACTGCAGCCTTCAGAAATTACCTTCTTCCTCTTAACCATGATGTCTGAGTGTAAGATGTCTTTCATGTTTTCTTACAAAGTCAGTGTTTAGAAATGTTACCCCTTTCTAAGTTATATGCGATTCAGTTCTTTATTATTTCACATCTAGCCATCATTTGCAACTGTTATTCATACAGAGAAATAGAACTGCTCAAATGGTCTTGCTTGTATTTTCTTACTGTATCAGACTTTAATGTGTTTTTTCCCTAAAATATTATTGCTGTAGGAGTTTTTATATTTTTACCCAATTTGTATTTTAGTATGGCACCTGTTTATGTAACTCTGGCTTGCTGGAAAAGTTGAAACTCTAAATTATCTGAAATTAGAAGAGAAATAGCACATAATTGCTACCTGTCCCTTGACAGCCCTCCTCTCCACCCCCCACCCACCATTCTATGGCTTCCGTTTGGCAGTTCTTGAATTACAACTGCAGCTGAAACAGACAGGTTCACGGGGACGAATGTTTTGAAAAACATGTATCTTCATGCTGTATTGTTTTCCAAGTAAGTGAACATAAAAACATCCCTTCCAGGTGCTTTCTTCTGTTTGACTTTTTCACCCTAATTCCTTTATTCTCTGCCGTTGATGTGGAAGTGACCTGGGGTGGGTTTGCTAATCCTGTCATGGCCACTTGGACGAACCCTCAGACAGTGATCAAAGAAATGAAGACCTTCCCATCATGCTCATCCGCTGCCCTCCCCCCACCCCATGGGGTGAGGGGCAAAAGCGTCACAGAGTAGAGACAAGATCTGTTGTGATTTTTCCACTGTCTCAGTGCCTGATTGTGGGCACATCTGTCTCTGTCACTCAAAGAGGTGGGGATAAAACAAGTACAATGTCAGCTTCAGTTGTTCAACATCATAGTTATCAAAGGTCTCTTTGACTTTTTGTTTATTTGAGACAGGGTCTCATTATGTACCTCACGCTGGCCTTAAACTCATGATCCTCCTGCCTCAGCATTCAGGCGTGCCCCACTGTGCCTCGCTTTTCATAATAAATGTGCAAAGTTGATACGGTATTTTTATCTCCATTTTAGAAATGAAGGGTAAAAAATGAGGCTCAAGAACTTACTTGGCCTAGGTTGCATAGCTAGTAAGGATGGGGCTAGTTTCAGACTTGGGATCAGTCTCACTCCAAGGCCCAGAATCTTTCCAGGGAATCATGGTGCAAACTGCCTGCTCAGTCCCTCCCAGTTCCAAGTATGTGACTCTCTAGCTCTGCTTTGACTCTTGGGAGAAACACGGTCACCAAGCAAGAAGCATGCTGGATACTTCCTCCCATCCTGCTGGGCTGGCGCCAAAACTCAATCAAATGAATTCATCTTCACAGCCTTTGAAGCAGGAAGGAAACTGAGGACAGTGATAAAGGCTTCCCAGAACCTCCACTTAGGAGCTTCACACATGGAGGAGCAATCAGAATCTTCCTCATGAGGATGAAGACAGCTATAATTGGAAAGCCTCAGAGATGGATGTCTGGGGACTAGACTACCGAGTTGAGTGACCAGGGAGAGAGGTACATGAACAGAAGTTGCATAGAGATGAGGACAGGAGGCTCCTGAGATCATGAGGTAAAAAGCCACCTATTTTAGTAAGAGTTCATGTGGCCAAGACTCCTTTAAAGGCAGAACAGGATAGGGTTTTGAAGGGGAGCCCAAAGGAGGAGAGACCAATTTGTGAATCCTGAGAGGGTATCAAGGTTCCTTTTCTTGCCTTCCAGTCCTCCTCATGCATCAGAGGAGACACAACCAACCCTTGCAGAGGAGGCCCTGAGCCAACCCCGCACCATTTTACCCAGAATGATGGTCAAAATCCTGAGCCACTAAACACCGTCTTCTACATGCCACAGGCCACTGGCCTGGAGTCCTCATGGTTGCTTATGTGAGCCACATAGGGTCGTCTGCTGGGCTGTGTTGCTCAGGTTCTACCCCATCTCCAGAGAGACTTAATCACTAGGTCTGATCTCTCCCCTCCCACTTCCTCTGTGATATCACCTATTTCCCTGAACCTGCTTACTTTTGCTACTCTCTCCTTCTGAATACTTGATGGCTTTCAATTCTGAACCTTGACACACAAATAAAATACAGTGGCTGAAGGGTTTCTAAGCCTTCACTCTCCCCCTTTGCCTGGATGTCTTGAACGCATTTGAAAGCTAGGGAGCCAACTAGCATAATCAGGCGTGATATGAGAAGGAAGCTTTGGCATGAGATTAATCTTTGTAGTGCTAGAGATCTTTAGAGTTCTTGCTATAAATTGACATTGCAGGCCCTCATTCTGAAGACTGAAGTGCCAGGCTCCCAAAGTCTCCCATCTAGGGACAGAACCAGCAGAGTAGAAAAGATGGCCAACCCATGTCAGGGGCCAGGGCCATTGGAAGGCAGACATGGGAAGGACAAAGGGACAGGGAAGCTATTGGGTGGGGGTTAGAGAGCAAGAAGAAAAGACCCAGGAAACTCTCTCAGTAAACGTGGATGTGACAGCATGATGTGGCCTGAAGTAGAAACAAGAACAATGTGCCACAAGAGTCACCCTTGGATTTCCCATCTCCTCTGGGACTTATCTGGCTTCAATTATACAGAAGATGTAAGTACAGAATTCTGGGGACTGTCAGCAGCAGTCCAGTACAGCTGAGTATTAGTCAATATTGGAAACGTACTCAAATTAACACCCTGCCCCCAGGAATGTATTGAGTCATGAGACCAGGGAGAGAGAACACAGAGATCCGAGGAATATAGAACATGGCAACTTAAACCTTTCTGTATATAACTGTGTGTCTGTGTCTGCCTGTCTGCCTTTGCTTGCCTGCTTATGCTTTTCTCAATATATGCGTCATTTCCTTCAAGTAAGGAGTCTGCAAGTCACAGGAGTGTTTATATGCAGCTGCAGGCTTGTATTGCCCTATATAACCCACCACTACAGAGAGTGACCTCAGAGGGAAGAAGAGACCTCCTTTTCCCTCTAGGGTTACATCAGTTCCTGGAAAGACTGATTGGTCCTACTTGTGTTGTGTACCCATAACTGATTGGCAGCCCCACCAGAGATGATCCATGAAGAAGAAACAATCCCTTCACCCAAAATGCATGGGGTTTTGCAATGACCATAAATCAAGACCACGAAAAGGTGAAAGGACTGAAAAATTAGACTCTGCTACACTCAGCAGCAGGGACAGGCTGAATGTGGGGGTGTCTTGTGACAGGTAGAGGTGAGATGATACTGGCCTGGGATTATAGGAAAGGCATTAGACTTTATCCTACACTTGGTGGGGCACTTTGGGAAGGTTTTAAGAATCAGATTCATGTTTGAGAAAGATCAAGCATAACAGTTGTTTATACATTCATGCTTTCAGAAATGCTTGCTGAATGGTTATTTTGTACCTAGGACTATGTTTCATTTTGGAGGTACAAAGATAAATGATACCTCCACTTTTCAAATTCCCAAGCCCATTGTAATGACAAAGACTGCTTCAAATCTCAGATATCACTATCCCTCCAATGCCTCAGCAACCCCACAGCAGAGACAAACATATGTGTATAGGTCTTGCTGACCTAACAGCTGGAGGAGGAACTTTCTGGCTGCCGCCTGAGCTTTTTGGTCACCAGGACACCATTGAGCTTTCAAAACACTCCTTGAGAACTGCTCCCTGATTTTCCCTTTTGGCCTTCTACCTTGTACTACAATTTACATTGTAGTCAAGTGTAGAGAGATCTTCACCTGAATTTGAATTTTGGCTCTGCCATCTGCTAGTTTTGCAATCACAGACAATTCCCTGAAAATCTGCAAGTTACTAAAAATAATCCCCTACACTCTCTTGGCTTTCCTGCAGGTCATCTATAAAATGAAGTTATTGAAACTGCTCTCCACTGAGCTATCTTCTTGAAAGCACTGAAAATGAAGCTCTGGCCCTGAGTAAGCCTTGGTTCTCCAGGTATCTCCCAGGAGTAGCTGGGGTTTCTTCCTGCAGCCTTATTGGATGTTGTCTTCTAATTTGTCTGCTTTCTCTGCCCATCTCCAAGATCAGCACCTTGATTCAATACATCCCTATTGGTATAGCTCTACCTGCTGTTAGTCAATATCTATTGTCACAAGTCCCAATTAGTCTAGCTTCCCTGCCCCTCCGCTCATCTTCTCCACAATTCAACAATTAAAATATTGTCATCTGGATCAGTAGGGCTCCAAGATTCATACTTAACACTAGGCCTAGATTCCTTCTGATTGAGGGGAACATGAGCCACGACTGTTAAACAGACTCACTGTTCTCCTTATTTAAGCTTGCTCAGGACCTTGAGTTCCCAGAAGAAGACAGAGTACCCTGATGTCTGATCTCATGGTAGGAGGAATTGTCCACCTTCCTCTCCTTATAGACTTGCTCATTTTCTTCTGTTCTTTATCTCAATGAATGGTACCAGAGGCCCAGGAATCACTTACTTGTTCATTAAATACAACTTTTTTTTTTTGGTACTGGGGATTGAACTTGGGACTTTGTGCTTCTGAAGCAGGTGGCAGAACCACTGAGCTAAATCCCTGGCCCCTACAGCTTTTAATATATGTTTTTGTTTTTAGTAGACACATGGTGTTTTAGTTGCTTTTCTCATTGCTGAAACAAAAATATCTGACACCCAGAGTTAAAGGAGGAAAAGTTTATTTCAGCTCACAGTTTGCAGAGCTTTCAGTCTATAGCCAGCTGGCTCTGAGGCAGGGTGGCGTGGCAGAGGGGCATCACAGAGGAGAAATAGTTCATAGGAAAGCAGGATAGGCAGAAGGCAGCAAGAAGTGAAGTAGTAAAGCAGTTTCTTTCTGTCCCTTCATATTCCATCCAGGCTACCTGCTTGTGGGTGGTGCCAGCCACACCCAGGTTACAGCACCACACACCTAATACAGCCAACTTCAAAACTTCCCACCTATGACCACACGAGGCCTTGGGGGACATCTAGATAGAAGCATGACACATGGTATCATATGTATTTATGGGATACATTTCAATACGTAAAAACAATGCGTGATGATCACATTGGGATAACTGGCATTTCTGCCACCTCAGACATTTATCAGTTCTTTGCACTGAGAGCATTCAGAATCCTCTCTACTAGCTTGTTTGTTCAACAAATATTGACAGAGTGCCTTTTAGAAATAACAACAACAATAAAAAGAAACCATAAATTAAGTGCTAGAAAGCCCAGCAAAACTGGGATGTTTCCATGATGACTGCTTTGATTTTTAAATATCAAAATGTTTTTTTAAATATCCTGGAGCACTCTTGCTTTGCAGTATGTGGTGGTCTTCTTCCTCTGAGACATTGTGGTGCTAGCTGCTCTAGCACACCTGCTCACACCTCCCTGCTGATCTCCTGGGCTCTTGCTTCTCTCTTGCAGTGCATTGTCCACATTCAGAACTTTCTGAAAAGCCTGCTGCACTCAGAGTTTTGATTCAGGTTCCCATTTGAATGGGGATTCATTTGCAAGCAGTTTCATGGAAGGTTATCCCAGGAAACACTGGGGACATGAGATGAAGGGAAATTTTCAAGGTTGCATCTAGTTACTTC